AGTGCTTCCATTTTCTCCTCAAGTCAACCGGGTATATCAAGTTTGCACACTTTCCATCTTTCACTTAATAACACCCCTACAAAAAAAAACGTTTCTCAACTTTTAAAAACATTACCTAATTTGTGTTTAAGTCTTTGTGAAGTGACTTTCGACTTTGCTGAAACCGATATTGATGAAAGTATTACTGTGCTTTTAATTGAACTCATTAGAGTGCAAAAAGCATTAAAACATTTCACTTTGAAATGTCGTGGTACTATTGCTGAAAAATATAAACAGGATTAGCAGATTAATTACTTTGATCAATTTTTTAAGTTGTTATTAAAATTTAGAATTAATTTTAATATAAAAATCATTATACTTAATTTAAAATCAATTAAATTTGCTAAAAATTGATCAATTACCAACACTGAGTACAACAATTTAAATGATTTTAATAACTCACAAAAAAATGTTCGTTATTTTTATATTCTCCGTTAAAGCATTCAAAATATATGAATATATGAGAATAAGCTATATGCATAATTATGTATTTTCTATACATACCAATATTTTCATCATTACCATTCATTGGTGCTGAATTTTTTTAAGGTTCGAGAAGACATCTACAAAATGCAATTTTAATTTTTATTAGCAATTTTTATTAGCGTAAAATTTGTTTTTGTCATGTGGCACGTAAACATCTTATTTAAGTATATACTATTTATTATATAATGTATCAATATGTAATACGGTGCACTGTCATTGAGAGAAGTGTAACCCTGAATAATTTGGAATACAGAACTTCTCAATACCACCGCAAAAAAGACCCAGGTACTATACATTGGAAAAAAACTGAAAATGCTATTGTTCATTTATCAATTTGTCTGTGTTAACGCTATTTACATGTGTCAATAAAAACAATACTACAAATAATGTGACAAAAAGCCAAATTATTAAAATATATTCATGATAATGCTTTTAAAATTTGTAATTTCTTGGACCTAGCGTTACTATAATTTTTTTTCATGTGTAACGATTGATGTAAAATAACATTAGCAGCATGCGAGAAAGTCTCCATTTTCCTAATAATTGACATTAGAACAACTTATCCTATAACAAACATAAACTGCTAATCCGATTGTCACCTAACAAAACAGTCTCATAATATATTCAGTTGCTGCTGTTGTAGATATTATTATTTATTTATTTCAAATTAACATAAATTTTATTTAGGGGAATTTACAAATAAGGGTCCGGAAAATGAAAATAATTACAAATACGGGCCCAAATTAAAAATAAATATTACGGATGGCTGAAAAAACGTGATCACGGGATTACTGTGCCACAAAATACTATGGTCATTTGACTAGCATAGCGAACTTTTATTGTGATTGGCTGATTTTTGTAGATCATCTCGTCATACTAAAGTATTATTAAAGTAA